GCTTAACTGACTGAGCCACCCAGGCGCCCTGAAGAAATACCTTTTAGAGAAGAGTTTGATGCTCAAATCCTTGCTCGTTATGGGCAATGCTCCTGCTCATCCTTCAGGCTTTGAGGACAACTTACTGGAGGAATTCAAGTTCATTAAGGTCAAGTTCCTTCCCCTCAAGACCACTCTTATCCTCCAGCCCATGGATCAGCAGGCCGTTTCAAACTTTAAAAAGCTCTACACCAAAGCACTACTTCAGCAATGCTTCGAGGTGACCGAAGGAACAAACCTTACTCTCCGAGAGTTTTGGAAAAATCGTTTCCACATCGTGAACTGCCCCAAGATCATCAGTAAAGCCTGGGATGCGGTCACCAAGAGAACCCTCAGTTCTGCTTGGAGAAAACTGTGGCCCGATTGTGTTCTTGGATGTGACTTAGAGGGGCTCGCTCGTGAACAGCAGCCTGCCGTTGTTGATGAAATTGTGTCCTTGCGAAGACCGTGGGACTGGGAGTGAATGAGGACGACATTCAGGAGCTGGTGGAGGAGCTTGGCCAGAGGCCGACCACCGACGAACTGATGGACCTGCATCACGAACAAGAACAGGTTATGGAGGAAATCTCGTCTGCAGTGGAGGAGGAAGAGAAGGTGGAGGAATCCCTCGATCCGAGTGAGATTAGGGAGATGCGTAAAATGTGGGAAACAGTGCAAATTATGTAGAAAAGCACCACCCAAATAAGGCTGTGGCAGTGCGAGCGATGAATCTGTTTAACGACAACACAATGTCACATTTCCACGATGAGTGTTTCGCTCACCAGGTGGAACAGCAACATTGAGCTCAGAAATTACCCTTGTGGAATGGCAGAGAAGCAAGTGGACCTAGGCACAAGAAGCAAGACGCCCCCCACACGACGTGCCCTGACCAGGGGCGAGGGCTCCTGTAGTGATGTCTTGTAGTTAGAAACCATGTTACGCATGAAGGCAAGGAGGGCTGTGCACCTCTGAGGACCGACAAGAGAGGTGACGTTGCGGAGATGACAGAGAATTTCAAGTATAGTTTTCTAATGTCATAAAACGGATGATATCTGTGGGTTTCAGTTAATGCCAGAGTTACTGTTTCTGATGAGCTACCAGAGGTCTGACCAAGAACCGTGTCAGAGAAAGAAGTAAGGGGAGACAGAGCATTGGTGCCTTGGCCTCTCGGTGCACGTCCCACACACGGTGAAAAATGACATCATCTACGTGGTCCAGACATCACACTGGGACTGCAACAGAAGAGAACCCAGGCAGGAGAGAAAGGGAGGCCCCCAGGGGATCAGAGTGTCAGGGAGGGAAAGCCCCAGATATTGACAGTGAGTCCTCACTCCCTAGTTCTGTGCTCTGCCCCTGCCCCTGGGCTGGTCCCTGCAGGTAAGGGGTCCTAAGCACCCTCCCCCCATGTCCTGAGGTCCCCTGGAAGGTCCTCTACGCCCCCTTGCGGATCCTGAGGGCCCCTGCAGCCCAGCCCCTCCAGCCCCTCCAGGTCCCTGCGCCAGGTTTGTGTCTGAGCTCACAGTGACTCTCCCTCACTGTGCTTCGGCACAGTAATACACAGCCGTGTCCTCGGTGGTCATGGAGCTCAGCTGCAGGGAGAACTGGTTGTTGGATGTGTCAGCAGTGATGGTGATGCGGCCCTGGAAAGCCGGGTTGTAGCTGGTGCTACCCGACCAGTACCCCATCCACTCCAACCCTCTCCCAGGGCGCTGGCGGATCCAGCTCCAGTAGTAACTGCTGGTGACAGAGCCCCCGGAGACAACGCAGGTCAGAGAGAGGGACTGCGAAGGCGTCACAAGTCCTGGGCCGGACTCCTGGAGTGTGAGTTGACATAGAACACCTGGGGGCAAGGAGAGTCAAGGTGAGTTTGTCCCATCCCACAGAGAGGCCCAGGTCTATCCCAGAGCCCCCAGACCCTCACCCAGGGGAGCTGCCAGCAGGCAGAGGAGGGACCACAGCATCTGCATGTCTGTCTTCTGGATGGAGACCCAGCACCCTGGCCTTTGCCTGTGATGCAGGTCTTTTCTGGGAGCACCTCAGGTCGTTTGCATGCGGGCCCCCTGGACCAGGGGAGGCATTTAAAATGTGGAACCCCGGTGTCTGTCGCCAGTTCCTGGTGTGCTGGTGTTGGGTGGTGAGGGGACTCGCTGACCTGGTCCTAGCGATCTGGGCTCCACTTCTGCCTGAGCTGATCTCTGGCCCTGTTTGCTTGAGAGAGTTAGTGCTGTAGTTGATGAAAATTTGGAAACCGTATAAAGTTTCTCTTATATTCTTCTGTTAGGCTGTGCAACCGTGGGCTGCAATTTCAACCCCAGAGTTAACTGTTCACAGAGATGGAGGATAAGGCAGGGGTCCAGAGTCCAGGCCCTCGGCTGCCTGCCTGGGCTGGGTCATTCTCCTTCTCTATGCAGATATGGGGTCCTGGGAATGATTGTAATGCATAGGATCTCCAGTGCTCCATCTGCAGGAGGGGGCATCAGGGGCTGTACTCCAGCATTTATATAAGAAAAGAGCTCATCCATGTGGAGAAGCAGGGCAGAAGTCCAGAGCTGTGTCTGGACTCAGA